ATAAAACTGTAATTTTGTAGACAGCTATATACATCCTTGCATTCTTAACCTCTACAATGCTTGGGGTGAAACCATCCAAAATGGAATAAATAACTAGATATAAGGAAACAAAACACACAAGAAATGTAGCTTCTCCAATAAACGATTTCAATAAACTGGTTTCTCCAATAAATGCTTCAGCATGGTGGTAGTTGTGAATGGTTGGAGTCATTTTTCATGATGGCCTTCTCAGGGCTAGCATACAGCCAAAGTAAGGGTCCACATAAACAGGAATGAAAAGTGTCTTGAATTCACTGCAGTCACAGGGTACTGGGTCCCTGTTATCTCCACCTTTAGTATGTTCTCCCAGTCTGTCCACAGTTAATAATAATAATAATAATAATAAATAATGCCATCCTTTCAATAAGCCCAAAGCCTTTACATATGGATCATGTAAGCCAACACTGAAGTGCAGCCACTTCTGAGGTGGAACCTGGCAGCAGGGTAATCATTGCACAGCAACACTAGGGCAAGAAGTGATAAATACTGTAATTAAAATACGAATGGGAATTTTGCTGCAATTTTTCTGGCAGTGTTTTAGCAAAATTACATTGCAGATAGCCACATTAGGCCTTATTTTTTAAAAATGTTGGCTAAAGTGGGAGTCTTGAATCCGTGACTCAGCACCTAACCAAAAAAAGCTCTAAGTCTATATTTAGTGCCCAATCAGTCCACCAGATGTAACTGGGAGCTGCTGTAAGCCTCATGGTTGCAAATCAGATCAGTTTTATTCAGAAGCTTCATATAGATTTAGGCACCTCAATTTGGACCCCTGTGCCTAAGACTCTTGGCCCCCACAAGTTCCAAATCTTGCATACACTTACATATCAGTTTACACACAAGAGTAGCTTCCCAGAGTTCAGTAGGACTAGTTTAGTCAGAAATTTTGTATTCTACCTCCCACACTGCATACAGGTATATAGATCAGGGTGGGCAAAATATGGTCCACAGGCTGGATCTGGCCTGCCAAGGGATTCTTTCCGGCCTGTGGTTGATCCCTCAGTCCTGCCTTGCCCAGGTGCCAGCCGGGCTGTGTTGCATGCACCCCTGGGCATGCAGTGGGGCTGAGGGCTGGACTCCATTTCCTGGCAGCCCCAGCAGCAGTGGCTCCTTCCAGCTGCCACTACCGCCAGACCTGGCCCTGCTGCCTAGGCACCCCTGCCCATCTGCCCTACACCCACCACCAGGGACAGGACCCTGCAGGCAGGGCACTTGGCTAGGCAGCTGGGATGTGGCTGCGGGAAGACAGGCCAGGAGTGAGATGGGTGGACAAGGCTGGGGAGGCCCCAGGATCTTGTGGTGGTGACAGCACAGGATCAGGGCCTGGGGCAGAGCCATGATCCACTGCCGGCGTGCCCCTGGCTCTGCCACGACTCAGCCCCGCACTGTCCCTGCCCTAAGATCCTGGATCCATCAACAAACACAGCCCCCTGCCTGGCCGTGGCCCCATCCTGTCCACCTGGCTGTGCACCCTGCCCATGTGGCTCCTGGATGGTCTCCATAGAAAGTCTCGGGACATCTTTAGCATCCAAAAGTGATTAAGAGCACTGTAAAGGATTATGTCCTTTCACTGGCACTACCTCAGGCTGGGGTTTCTGTTCTGTTAACAATCCAGCAGGAGCGAGGATTTGTCTTGGTTGCTCTACATAGCAAACTAGCCCCATAAATAAGATTTAACGGAGCTTACTAGGCTCCTTTCCTCAACAACTACTAAAGTAAAAATATTGGGATCCCCTACCAGTAAACAAGCCCCAAGCTCTGTCTCACCTCCACAGAATAGCTACAACAGTAAAGAAAATATTTTTTTTGGATTATCCAGTCCTGTGGATTATATTTAATATTTTCTGGCAAGTCATTCAGCTGTGATCCGGCATTCCAAAACAGGAACAGATGCTAGAGAATTTATCAGTATCCTGATCTCAAATATCACCAGCCACGCAGTGCAGAGGGAAGTCAGTATTATACATGAGCTTTTTAGGGTCAGTTTATCAAAAAAAAGAGAAGAGAGAGAGAACAAGAGAAAAACAGAAACAAATGTGAAGAAAGGTTTTTATAATTAACGTAGGGGGCTGTACTAGTGACAGGACTAGTTGAAAGAACATGGGTTCATATCTGCCCAAGGCAAGAAGTGATCAAATGTTTTTGACATCTGATGTGTGTTCAATAATGCACATAAAGATGTGGTGCCCGACAGCTCAGTTGAGACTACACAACTTCCAAGAGCTTGTAGTTATAGACTATGTGACCATGTGCACAGCTGAAACATGAAATGAAAGAAGTTTTATTGCTTAAGCCAGTGGACTGGAAAAATGTATGCTCGATGCTCAGACAGTATAGTGATAATGTCATTGGGGTACCCAGTTAATCTATATGCATATATGCAATATGGGAAACAAATCACATGTCCTCCTCTGACAAAACTACAGACCTCTATTATTTTAATTAAAGAACAAAATCCAACAATTAATAACTATATTAGTTAGTAATGGCATTAAGGTGTATGCAGCTGTCCCTTATCAGGCCAACCCACAGCTTTCTCCCCAGGGAGGAGGGTTGAAGGAAGGGAGCATAACTTCACCTCCTACATTAAAAGCAGAAAGTAGCCCTCCTTTCCTCACCTTGGCTAAGGTCATCACAATTCACCCTTCTTTCTTGATGAGCAAGGCAACAGCTGCCCTTACTGGGTTCAACCCATTTAAACTCTGGTGTGGTGCCAGAGGACTGGAAGAGGGCCAACGTGGTTCCCATCTTCAAAAAAGGGAGGAAGGGGAACCTGGGGAACTATAGGCCACTTAGTCTTACCTCGATCCTGGGTAAGCTTTTTGAGAGAATTATCCTGGCACATGTCCACGAGGGGCCAGTTGGGGAGAGTATGCTTAGGGGCAATCAACACAGGTTCATTAGAGGTAGGTCCTGTCAGACCAACCTGGTGGCCTTCTACGACCAGGTCACCAAATCCTTAGATGAAGGGGTAGCAGCGGACGTAGTCTTTCTGGACTTTCGGAAGGCCTTCGACACTGTCTCTCACCCTGTTCTCATTAAGAAAATGGGGGACTGTGGTGTCGACACCTACACAGTCAAATGGGTCGCCAACTGACTGGAGGGCCGCGCCCAGAGAGTGGTGGTGGACGGGTCATTTTCAGCCTGGAGGGATGTGGGCAGTGGGGTCCCCCAGGGCTCGGTCCTCAGGCCCGCACTGTTCAACATCTTCATCAGTGACTTGGACAAGGGGGTAAAAAGCACCCTGTTCAAATTTGCTGATGACACTAAGATGTGGGGGGATGTGGACACGCTAGAAGGGAGGAATAGGCTACAATCAGACCTAGACAAGTTACAGGGGTGGGTGGATGAGAGTAGGATGGGATTCAACACTGACAAGTGC